CGCTTCCGACTCTGAGTTGGTTTCCTCCTATGAGCGCGTGATTCCGCCGAAGGCGCATCGCCGAGGGCGTACGGGAATCCTTTCCGGCTGTGAACCCTAGCGCGAACGGCGCATGTCCGGCTACGAGTTTTCCGACGCTCATAACTTCTCCGTCCCTGATCCATCTCCGACGCTCTTGGGCTCGTTAGAACGAGCGTCCCTAGCTCTTTCTAATGTAACTTCAACCAACTGGATCTACCGTGTATTCCGATCGTTATGAAGGTTTTCCCTTTCCGCGCCAACAGCGCATCGCCGAAGACGCACTCATGGTCGGACGCCTTCAGAGGTCCGGGCCCTTCTCCTTACGTCTTTAGCAAAACCTCCTCTTGAGGTGTCTGCGCCGGAAGCGTAGCTTCCTTATACGCTGGAAGCGCGTGAGTAGAGACACCTCAGAAAAGGAGCTTTTGCCGAAGGCGCCGAAGACATTGGCGTTGGTACATCCGGCTACGTGATTCTTCGTGACCTCGTGACGATCTCATCAATCCACTCTATTTAACGTACCCTTTTCTAACTACAAACACTGCTTCGGTACTAGTTTTCTAAAATTGTTTAAATTCTGCAAAAAAAAACAAAAAGTGTGTTATCACACACGTAAGGCGGATGAAGAATTAATCCGCAAACTGCAATCCGAGTGCGGGGAATTGAGAGCGCAGCGTGCGGAGGCCGAATTGCAGTTGGTTGTAGTTGAAGACGATCGCCGGCGGGAGGCAGATTGCACGAAGGAGGAGTTGGCGAGGCGAGTCAGCCACTGTCTCAGAGGTTACACCCACTGGGAAGTGGTGGCGCAGGAAAAATTCACACTGCGCGAGTTAGAGCTTCGTGCGGCGGGTTTGGTGTCAGGTGACAGTCGGAGCCGGCGGCGAGAAGCGAAGAAGTTAGATTCGTTTTAGCTAGACTGTCAAGGTCGCGGTACGCCATGGCCACCCTCGAGACAGAGGTTACTGCGGTGTTGCGGCGGCTAGGACTGCGCAGTCGAGCTGAAGACTAGCAGGGTAGGGAGTTAGTGCGCGGCAGTCCGTCGCGCAGAAGGCGAAGCACGAGATCTGCGGAGTGTAACGTAGCGTGGTTCTGTGCCGGCGTGTAGTGTAGTGTTAGTTAGGACTTAGAGGGTATAAAGTAGTTCAAGGCGTCTTCCCTTGGGATTCTTCTAATTTCGGAAGTGCAGATCAGGAACTCATTTTCTTTGCGTGTTTGTGTCCTTAATTTTGTCACCACACAAGAGAAGCTACAACTTGGCGATCCGCATTTTGTAGCTGAAGTCCTTCGGCCGAATGTTCAGAGCTAGTACACTGGTTAGAGACTTGAGTAGTTCGGATCTACACCTGCGGGTGATTGCCGATGCTAAGAGCTAGTTATTAGTTAGATACTTGAACAATTTCCCCCTTACACTTTCGAGTGATTGTTCCTGATTGTACTCCTCCGGGATTTTTCCCCTGAATGCCAAAGTGAAGTTTTGTTACTTCGAGTAAGCCTTGGTTGTAATTCAGGTTACGCTGCAGCAGGTGCCTTTAGGGTAACCCCTGTAGTATTTCTGGGAATGACAAGTGCCTAAGAATTCAAACTCTTCAATAGACTGTTATGGTGTGCTACTGGATCGTTTCTCAGTTGAGCCTCTCAGTTCGGACCTATGTTCTCTGCGCGTTTTGTGAGTTGAGTGTGTTGTTCACCGCGTGTGAGTGACTTCGATCCGAAGTAGGAAGTCCATTCCGGGTTCCCTGTGCTAGCAAAAACTAGTGGAAGGGTTGTAAAAGCCGGAGTTGGGAGTCACTACCCGCAGATTCGCTGAGTGTAATCGCGAGAGACTTTCCCCCTGAAATCTTAAGTAGAGGTCCTAACCGACCTCTGAGTTTTGTTTCTATAGTTTCAGGTGTGTGTGTGTTGAGTGAACTAAGCTGCACTGTGCGACCTCCGAGTGATCTCCGAGTGAACACTTGCAGTATTTCTGGGAGTGATAGTCGTCTGAAAATTCAAACTCTTCAATAGTCTGTTAAATGTGACACTTTGTACTCTCTGTGTTGCCTTTGTCCCTGTGGGTTCGACCTTTCTACCACTATATTGCAGTTTTAGCCTTTGGTGGGTTATTACATTGTTCCTGTTTGTACTCCTTCGGGATGTTTCCCCTGAATGCCAAAGTGAAGTTTTGTTACTTCACTTTGGCTTGTTACTTTTGTTACTTTGTTTGTTACTTTCTTAAGCCTTGGTTGTAATTCAGGTACGCTGCGGAAGGCGCCTTCGGGGCAAACCTCTGTAGTATTTCTGGGAATGACTAGTGCCTGAGAATTCAAACTCGTCAATAGACTGTTATGGTGTGCCATTGGATCTTTTCTCAGTTGAGTTTCTCAGTTCGGACCTGTATTCTCTGTGCGTTTTGTGAGTTGAGTGTGTTGTTCACCGCATGTGAGTGACTTCGGTTTGACGAAGATACCGCATCCAAAGTAGGAAGTCCAACCCGGGTGCCCTGCGCTAGCAGAGACTAGTGGAAGGGTCGTAAAAGCCGGAGTTGGGAGTCACTACCTGCAGATTCGCTGAATGTACTCGTGAGAAACTTCCCCCGTGAAATCTTAAGTAGAGGTCCTAACCGACCTCTGAGTTGTGCTTTTCCAGTTTCAGGTGTGTGTGTTGAGTGAACTACGCTGCACTGTGCATCCTCAGAGTTGAGCATTTGCAGTATTTCTGGGAGTGACAGTCGCCTGAGAAGTCAAACTCTTCAATAGTCTGTTAAACGTGACACTTTGTACTCTGTGTGTTGCCTCTGTCCCTGTGGGTTCGACCTTTTTGCTGCTATACTGCAGTTTTAGCCTTTGGTGGGTTATTACATCAAGAAAGCTAAAGAAGTTAGTTGGTTGCCTCTTTGGTTGATTCCGATCTTGTAAGGTGACATAGATTTATAGTACTTTTGATTTCTCTGTTGAGCCTCAGGCACTCTAAAGTATATACAAATATTACAATATTGACATAGGTTGACAAAGGTGACATAGATTTATAGTACTTTTGATTTCTCAAAATATAAATATATGTATATGTCAAATATTTTTATATGACAAAATATATATATATGTCAAATATAACCTTTGTCAACCACATAGACATTCTTTGCAGGAGATTAATCTTCCTTATATGACTTCTCAAACTCATCAAGAAAGATGAAGAATGCAGTTGGTGGCCTCTTCAATTGGTTCTAATTTTGTAAATTAACACACACTTTAGCCTTGACAATGTAGTAAGTCTTCTCATATATTAACATGTTATTTCATTTCTTTTCTTTGACTTCGCCAACCACTACGATATTTTTGGGCTCGAAATAATCTTCCTTAAACAACTTCGTGAACTAATCAAGAAAGATGAACAAGGTAGTTGATGGACTCTTTGATTGATTCTGGTCCTTGGCAGCTTTCGTGATCATCTTGGATCTCCGTTGGTTTTTTGTCTTTGTGTTTCTCTCAATAGACTTATGCTTCTTTCTATCATTGTCCATAACTTTGCTAATCTTTTCTTTCACAATCCGAGTGTTCGCCCCCTTCTTTGCCTTCCTCGCATACTTCGTTGTAAAGGTTGAAAGTACGTTGAAGATTTGTAAAACAATTATCAAAAGTTAGTTACTTGCGATCTTCGGCGACAAAGATCTTCTTAAGACCTATCATGAATCTATCAAGGACGGCTTGACAACAAATTCAAACCATCGGGGTTGAAACCTCACAGCAGCCTCTTGTTTTTCTCTTCAACTCTCACTCAAACATAGTACAAACAAGACTAAAAGGACTCACTACTCACATTCGAAGCAAAGATCAAAGATCCCTCATATCTCAACACTATTGCAGTTCAACAAGAGTGTGATGCAATCATAGACATGGGATGTAATGGCTTTATGTTGAGAGGTGTTTTGATAGATGGAGTAGCGGATGTCGATGTGATGACTATTTTAGCAATAAGGCGTATACCTTCAAATTGAGAGATCTTCATTCATTCATTATAAAAGGCCAATTTTTATTTTTTTAAACCTCAAGGTGTATTTTTCACAGCAGGGGATTTTCATGTGGTGTTAGAATAACATGGATCATACCCAATGATCTTAAGCCGACCATGGGTTACAAAAGCACCCGTACGGAACTGGCATAAGACGAATCGGACTCTGACTAGAGGTTGCTTATTAAGAATTAGAAACAATTTACACGGATGATTCATTGGATGATGAGGTTGGACTTTATGAAATTAAAGACACAAACATAACTAACTGCAAAAGGAACAAGGGAGAAGCAGATTTTGTCATATGAAGAAATAGCATGGCGGTTGAATCAAATTTGATTAAGAACCCACTTATCTCCTCAATAAGAACATTTTTGCCACCTGCTGCCTAAGATTATTCATCATTTCAAGGATTTTCCTGAAGTATCTTGGGAACGCACAGAATTGAATTAAAAAATTTTCAAAAGCGGTAGCAACGAAATCATCCTGTGATGAAACGATAATGTACATATAGACCCTTGGAAAGAATTCCTCCTACATCTGTACGTAATAAACTTAAGAATTTCGTCAAAACATTACCTTTCCTTACATGTTTGACAGACGACGCTATTGAAGTCAACCATTTAGCGAAGGTGTTACCTACTTTTTCATGGACCAGTGGGCGTGGTCCCCGTCAAGATCTCAACGTACACTTTCCATGATTAGAAACAGTCTGGCTTGAATAGACAAATCTCCAACGCGGCCAAAGTCCAGGTCCAGGTCAATCGCAGTCTCCCTCGAGTCTTCGCGTTGCCAATAATTTGTCCTGAACACGTCAGTCAGACGTAACTTTACATTCTCGTTGCGTCACACCGTCAAGATGCTTTGACACGTCCATGCTCGTAAAAGTATCTTTGATGATCAACTTGGGGCCGCTCCTTGTCTGATGTGATCTGCTTTGGACACAAGCGCAGCCGTGGCTTTTTTTTTCCAAGATTTGAAGAGGATCTGTTGTGTTCATACATCACAAGCCACACCCTATGATGAGGTATACTTGACAGCAGCAATCTTCGCGTACATCTCGTGTTTTAATTTCAAATGATCACGCATCTTCACCACTACTGTTCCCTGATTGTTGGAAGCATTTGAAGAGAGACTCGGCTGTTTTTCATTACTCAAGAAGACTGTCTGTGGCGAGGAGCTAAAAGTCACATAGTTTTGCATATGGACTGTTTATGATACAAGTGTTCCGTATCGAAGTACACAGTGTTCCGACTCGCTCAGACTGGGAGTGATACACGCACCAACGCAACACCATGGAGACGATTTCGGCGCTTTGTCCAACGTAGTCGGAGTTGTAACAGTCTGTGTACGAAAGAGATCTCTTGAAGCTTGTTTCTGTGGACCATACCTGTGACTAAACTTGACAATTTTCCACACAAAATGATGAGGGTCGTGGAAGCGATTCCCGATTATGGCAGACGAGTCTGCAGGCTGGAGCTTCTGATCTTGCTAGCCATAGCGTTCTTGCTGCTTGAAAGAGGTGAAACTTCTTCAATGTCATGTCCCTTTGAGACACTCAGGTTCACGTAAATCGATGCTGTTGCCATCGAACTATCCTCTGTGATTACATCCACATGCAGTTTGTGACGTTTCACAGACACCTTGCAGTCATAACGCTGAGATCAAACGCTTGCATTTAGACTTACTCCTGGATCTGAGTTGTAGATAACAGCAGGTGCAGCAAATAACGGTCGCGTTCTATTGCAGGACTCTTCCGTTCAGAGGCCGACTCGGAAGACAGCACTGCAGATTTGAAGGTGAGATTTCATTCTCGAGCAGTTGGTCCGTTTGAGACCTTCTCGCCTAAGTATGTGGATTCTAGATTTCACGGCCCTGTATCCCCTGCACCCCCTGGAGACGACAGTGTCCTACCATAGCATTGACGGATGGGATGAAGTCGGACTTTTGCTCCTCTGAGTAGGAGAGTACATACAGACGATTTGATGGCAACTTTTGGGTGACAACCATGCCCACGAAGATACAGTGGCATGTGAAGGTTCATCTGCTTCAGTTTAGCAGATTGTGGAACATTATAAGGAGTTACTGCGGAAGGCAGTAGTAGATGATCTAGCTCGCGTAACGGCGTCAGTTCCAGTGAAGTGACAATGATTTCGAACAAGTTCAAGGCCAGTAGAGAATCATTCATTGCTTTCAATATTTTGTCTGTGGTAAAAAAATTCTCTAATATCATGATGTTTTATTTTTATGAGTTTGAAAGATTGTAAAATATTTTATTTTTTTAAATCAGATTTTATGTGGAGAATGATCATGAAATAAATTATATATGTAAACATATCAGATTATTTTATTTCAATACATTAATGAATTTGAAATATGAAATATTTTTTATTCCAATATTTAATATATTTTAAATCAAATTTAAAAATTTTCTTTCAATAATTGATACATCAGAAGATTTAAATTTAAACGGCAAAAAATAATTTAACTTTGAAAATCATATTATTGGTTGAGATTTTCTCACAAGAAAAATATGTTGATTGGAATTTAAAAAAATTACCTAAATTAGAATATTTCAATTTGATTGTTAGATGCAATGTCACCATATTTGATATGGATAAAATATATATCAACATGGCCTTGGAATTTAATATTTACAAGAAACAACCTGTTGATTTTGAAAATAAAATTAAAATCGATTGATTTTTAGATTATATGAATCATTACAATGATTAATTAAAGATTTCAAAGAAGAATTTATAAAATATAATATATGAGTTAATATATGAATTCACGTAAATATTAATAAGTTCAAAGGTAAATAAGAAAGTATCTCAATATTTTAAAATATTATTTATAAATATTATGTAACTCTGGCAAAGTTATAAATATGGATTTGAAAGTTGAAAAACTTGGGTAAATCTAAATGAATTTTTTATTTTTATTTTTTTGAAAAATTAAAAAAATCTGTGCGTTAAAAAAATTACAGACTACAAATATTTTATTATCAAAATATTAAATTTAATAAATTTCAAATATATAATATTAATTTTCAGATTTTGCACAAAGAGCATAACAAAATTCCATCATCAATTTTATTATGTCAAAAAATGAATTTAATCTATTATTTTCTGATCATAACTTAATTCTATACAACTCTAGTCTACACATGTTAGGTTTATTTTTTGTTTTGTATGAAAAATATTCATTTGAAAAATTCTGGGTAGTTCTCTCAAAAAATTCATACTATAATAATTAGATATATGAAATTCTGCAGAATTACGAAAATATAATGAAATAAAAATAAATCACACGAATAAGAAAGATCAAAATACAATTTAAGAGGTTTTTTTGACTTATATTCTTTTAAAAAACTTGCATGTAAGTAATTTGTAAACTAAATGACAAGAAACACTTTGAATGGAAACAAATTTTATCATAAATCAGTGGTAGAAAATTAATGATAATGTAATTTTTAAAAAAGTATTTGAATATGAATTTCAATATAAAATATGAGTTATATATGAGTGTAAATTATTCTTCTTGATCCACAATACCCGCAGCTGAATACAAGTCTTTTTCTCCAACGACAAATCACTAGTTCAAGGCTTTTTCTCTGACATTAATTTTACCGAGTGAGAACTTGCATGATCAAAATCCGAACTCTCCTTGCAATGCAGATTACTTTCTTGTATGGAGATGGGTCCTTGGAATACAAAAGACTCGGTCAGAAGAGGCGTTGAGAATTAGGGGAGAGGCCATTGACTATTGCGAAGCAAACAGCAATCTTCAGTAGTGCATGAACCACCACGCCCCAACATGTAACCTTGCGTAACCTAAATTAAAGGGTATCAGATGCCCACGGACGAATAATCGTGGCGATAAAGAGGTGATTTAACGTCGGAGCTTTACTCATGGGCTGCTGACACTTGTCGTAGGCCACGTTTCAGCTGGAGTTTTGACACGTCACACGCGTAAAGTCTACCAGACACTATTACGTAGAAAATAATTCATTATCTCCACCCATGCTCTTCCTAATCTCCCGAAACCGTACTTTTGCATGGCCATCGATCATGGTCGATGGCCATGCACGGCCCACGTAGTGTCCCAGAAAAATTTGGATATACTCCCACTGAATCCTTGACTTCCAAATTGTTGCACGGTTTTCTTACAAAATCGATTGTGCCTGAAGACTGAGGTCTGAAACTTCTTTCATCGAATTTCCAAACACGATCAGTTGGTTTAGCCAGACATTTGTGTCTCCAGTGTGTTCAATTGAAGAGCAAGTGCTGTTGCCGATTCGAAGAGAATGTAATTCGATGTAATTCGATTGCAGATTCGGAGAATTCGGAATATTCCTTGAGTTAACAGGAGATCTTTGAAAATGGCATACGTCATATATAACTTCTGATCTAGCAGATAACTAGTTCAGATCCACTTGGATGCCGTGTGGTTGACAACAGCTGGCCCAAGGTGGAAACGCGCTCAGAAATTTAACGAGATGGATGGGATGACTCCAAAATCGGTCCACACTCCGTTGATTTGGTCTATTTAATTTTCTCATAAATACCTGGAGCTCAACCAAACATCCAAACGCACACTGGTTGTCGTTGAGGCTTGAATCAATTTGAGCAGAGAGAAAGTGTGAGCAGGTGCCATCCTAAACCAGTGCACAGGATTTTGTGGACATCTTTTGCATGATCTCATGTTGATGTCATGCCGTAAGTTCGATATCACGATGATGAAATTTGGCGCGATCCCAGCCTATGTCAAGAGAATCATCATTGTCGAGCTATTTCTGCTCCTCGTCATCGTGGGTGCGTCTCCACAAACTGTTGAACATTCTTCTGCCTTCCATTCAATAGCACAGATTTGTCTACCTTCCGGCATCTAGTCACTAGGTTGAACGTCTGTAGCCATCTGCAGGTTGAGCTGCGTCTTTGAGCCAAAACTCATTGTTTAATTTATAGTCAGTCAGATGTAGAGACAAAACTGAGTTTTAAGCTGACGGAAGGTTGTGGGACCGAACTGGATTGTGTCATTGATACTCAGGATATTTTGGTACAACAGCAGGAGACTCAATTATCGATTCAAAGGTGAGAATCTTGTTCCCGTTCGACTAAAGTGCTTTTTATGCGCCTACGTTGCTCTTTTGTAGATCCTGCTATGGCGTGTCAGTTCAGACACAAGACATGTTCAGATGCATCTGGACCCATTCTTCCACAAAATAGACCTGAAATCGTTATTCATGAGGTTTGAGCACAGACAGACATGAATTGAGCACAAATACGATTGACGAGTTTGATATCAAACTCGTCAATTCGTGTTGATATCATCGTTCCAGCGTCTATGTGTCTAATACGCCAAGCACGACTGCTCGCTGCTTGCAAGAAACATTGAGACATTTGCTTCTAAACCCGCTGCAGGATCTTGGAGCTTCCGAAGATATAGAGAGAAGTTCACATTCTGGATTTGCTCCTCCAGATGTTTTCATCATGAAGCCTTTTGCAGTCCAAGGGCAACAATATCATAGTCGAAGGAGACTGACACAAGCCGGGAGACTGCCACCATCCGACTCTGTGCCAAGCGCATTGAGTTCCGTGCCACCAGCACCACTACCAGCAACACCCATTGAAGGGTAGCGATAAACCTTCTGCTCTGTTCAAAGAAGTTTCCACAAGCTGGTGCCTCATTTGGCATGGTAGTATGTAGCTTCACACCAATCGGATTGATATTATTTCTACAACAAAAGTGTACAGAATTCAAAATGTTTTTTCTGTTCAATCAGAAAACCTTGTCGAAGTACTTCATCAGCCTGCTTTTCAATATATGCTTTGACATTTACTCAGGCTCCGCTTAAATCAACCTTTTCTCTAAAAATATAACACTTTAAGACGCCTATGCTACGTGCAGACGAATGTTATGCAGACAGAACGTACACGCTTTCTGCTATACTGTTATAAATTACACCAGGCCCATGCACTCCACTCGAGATGTTTAGAGTGGAGTGCCTGGGCCCGGTAATCCAGGAAACAGATTGTCGGCTTTCACAGCAGTCTATGGCTTGGAGCTAGGATGCTGGTTTGGATTCTCAGGTTTCTGTCAGGCAACTCAGCTACAAGGCTATCAATCAAAGGAAAAATTCTGTTGCAAACATGATTTGAAATTTCCCTCCTATTCCTTCAGCTACTATCAAACTCACGATTCATAAAAATCAATCTATAGTAGCAAGAGAAGACAATGTGTCGTTGAAACCGATCGGTAGTATTAAGCTACTGTGTATGTATGTGAACGCCACTGCAGGATCTTCTATAGATATTCAACCTATCTCATGTGAGATATATTACACATGATATGAAATATTGATCGTGCTTGATTTAACCTTGAATCCATGACAATAGGTGGTATCTTTATTTTTGGTAAGAGAGCGTGGCTTGCAGGTTATCTTCCCCCTCTCCACAGATTTTAATCAATACTCAGACAAGTGAAATTTCTAGACGAGTGAAAGTAGTGAGGGGTATGTGTGGTCAGGCGAGGGTTGACATACTGTTCAGTAATTGCAAGGTAACACCCGATCTTATATGCCGGATCTAAAGTTAGGACTAGAGAAGATTGCATGTGGAAAGAATTTACCAAAAAATACTGAAATTGTGGAAGAAACTGAATTTAGATTAGAGATTTGCCTGAACGTAGATACGTTACATATATTAGTAGGATGTTAATATAAACTCCAAGTGCAAAGTTGCAAAAGAGTTCTCGGTTACTAAATTCATAACAACCCCGTTACTAGTCTGAAGTTAGAAAGAATCAGTCAGAAGTCGAAAAAAGTCAACGCCATCACTACCTTCTGTATGTCACGACCGTGACAGAATGTGGGAGTAGGGGTTTTGACCAAGAAGATGCTTTAATAAGGAAAAAAGCGGAGTGTCAATAACTTCTAAATCAATTCAAGAGATGAAAAGTAAAAGTTAGAAAGGAAAGAGAGAAAGGGAGATACCATAGGGAATCAAGATACTCTTTTATAAAAATGGTAGATGGAAAAAATAAGAATTTCATATTAATTTTTGATTGCACACCAAAGAAAGTGAAGCGACTTGAAATTAGTTATTTTTCATAACTAAGGATTTCCTTGTTGTACTAGAATTACTCAAATTTTTTGGGAGTAAACTCAGCGCGTTGGATTCGGTTATAAGCCTAACCTAAGAGAAGTAAAGGGTAAGGTGATAGGTAGTAGATACTATGAAGAGAAAGACTGGTTACATTTAGAGAATCTATCATTTCACGCAAGCTTTGATTTTGACAAGGCCAAGTGTATTATGCCACGCGAAGGAAAGGGGACCAAGAGTTTTAAGTTTGTTATAATGAAAGGTTTGATCAGAAAAAAACCCATTTTCAAATTGAAGTAATTAGGTGGAGCAACTTGGTTCCTCAATAAAGATACACGTAGGCATAATAGAGAAAGTGTTTGTGATTGTATTTTGGCCCAGTTTTTTCCAAACTGAGCCAAAATCTTTGCTCAACCTTTGCTTTTTCCCGACGATAGGATTTAAGATCCAGAGGACCTACTCGGTCCCGCTCCCTCTCCAGGAAACGATTGATTCTAATTCTAATCTCGTGTTCAGCCCAGGAAGTTAATCTCCGACATCCCTTTACAATGTGCAAGCATTAACTCCCATGTTACCCATCCGTCCGATTTGTTCTCAACTTTGACCATAAAGCCTGCCGTTGATAATCTCACCATTGCAGACTGTCTGAAGATCTCAAAATATGCTACATTAGAAACTTCTTGCCGATAAAGCTGAAACAAGAATAACGTGATCATCGCTTTGTTATTATAAATTCGGATAGTCTGAGGCTACGATTGTAGCTGGAATTAAGAGGTCTTTATTCAAGGAGCTGATTTTGATAAGATACAGTTTGTTATTATAAATTCGGATAGTCTGAGGCTACGATTGTAGCTGGAATTAAGAGGTCTTTATTCAAGGAGCTGACTTTGATAAGATACAGTGTTCTGCTTCAACGAAGATAATTCTGCGTGTTAGAGAATCTGATTCTCCTTCTGAAAGACTCTGTAAGTTATTGGATGGCAACATAATCACGACACGATGAAGAACTAAACATCATCATGGTAGATATTTTGAGGGGTTGAAGACTCTGAGACATAATTCGGACAAAACTAGAAGTGCCTGAGGAGGAAATCTGATACCCGATCCAGCAGCAACAGATAAACGAATTCATTGTTACATGCTGGTTGCTACCTTCGAACATAAAATTCGAGTACAAAATGCAAGATCACATGATAGAATTGTTCGCTGTACTTTAAGTTTACTATCTTTGAATTCGTTCAAGTTACGGTAAAGATGACCTCCAAGAGAGCGTAACAACTTCTATGTTTTCTCATGTTTAAGGATAAGTTGGCTATACTGTAATCGTATATGAACCGATGAGATGACGAAAACCTGATTGAAAATGGAAAGCTCAAAGAATTTTTATTTCGTCGTTAGCAAAATTTGGAGTGCTTGTATCAGTATCGAAGATGGTTATATCCGGTGCCAGCTAGCCTGGTAATCTTCAGTTCTATAATCTGTACTCCAAAGGTCTGATCAGAGGTTTAGAAATGAGATCAAGATAGGACCTGAATACCATGCTCGAAGGTCCGATGGAGTGTACACGTACATCTGGTGATCAGTATGGGTTGGAAGCTAAACGATGAATATCAGATCAATTGGAATGACATGTGAAAAACCAAAAAGATCGGGACCAGTTCCTACGGGCTTACGTATTGGTTACGTTACTCAAAACGAGGAGAAACAATATGAATCTCTTTCTCATACCCGTTTACAAGAATATTCATATTGATTACTCGCAGAAGACTTCGAGAATTACTGCTTGAACTCTTCTTATACTAATTGATCTATCTAGAGCTTCAGTCGAGCTCATGACTGCACACTGAAAAGAAATTGCTAACTCTAATCCCATGACATTTCAATCACTGTCAAACTTCGGATAAAAACTAGAAATCAATGCCAAGCATCCAACTTCGTGAAACGCGATCCACCTTAGGAACTGCATCAATGGTCTAAATCGCTTCCACTGGCCTGTCTGTTTATTCAATTTTAGAAACAAATCTGTCCAACTATCTGACATTCGGATTCAAACACTGCATTAGGACTAACCTTGAGTACAAAAAAGTACAGTATCACCTTATGTATTTTGGTTAGGACGAGCTCCGATATCCATCCTGCAGCCTGATAAAGGCCAGAAGTCAGTGATGCCCACCATAATCTTGGACCACTAGTCAACGATTGAGGCAGTAGAGGCTTCAACTTGATATGTCAGAAGATTTTGCATGACAAAGCAAAATGTCAAATGCCGATTCAGAATTCTCGTGTATGCCAATTCAACAGTTGAAGATGAGATGCCAACTGAATCTCATGTACGCGTCAGGGTCGATATTTTGCTAGTGGGACTTGAAGTTCCTGTAGCTGATGACTCACTTAAGAAGTCAACAACTACTCCACTTGTGTACGCTTTAATTCATTGACTTGTCTTGGTTAGACTCATATACACCCCAACCCTTGAAAACGTCAGTAATGTAATGACAACCTAACCAACTGTAACCAACTGAGATGTTCGAGCTGATGCACTTTCGTTTATGTGCATGCACCCTCTGCATCCGAAATCCCGGAGTCAAGAGTACGTCCACTTGCATGTCCTGAGTTGCCATGAACTTCGTTCGAGCCATCACATATAGCCCTATGAGGTTGTTTTATATGTTTATGGGCATGCAGAGAGAGAGAGAGAGAGAGAGAGATTAAATTGTGTCTGGATTTAATTCAGTAATGTAGTCAACAACAGAAGGTGAGAACTTTCATGTGTAGAAAAGTTAATAATGTTCATGTCCCAATTATATTCATGTATGCTCCAGGATAAACCGTGTCTAGAAAAATTTGTGCAAGCACAAACGCCTCCTACAAAATCCTCGATAAATTTATAAACTGGCGAATGTCTTCTTCAAATTCAATGAACAATGGTGGTCTTTTCATTGATGGGAAATTTAAATGATGAAACTTTAGATGAATTTGGATAAACTTGTTACTGATTACTGTAACCAAGCGTTCATATATTGACGCCTGGTTACACTACTGAGTGGTGGTTTCATTTTTTACAAACTCAAGGGAACAAAAAACCAAAACAAATTCTTTGAAGTGCATATAATCAGTGCTTGTCTCGAAAAGATGTGACTTTGGTGAAAAGACTATGGTAATATCAAATATCAAATGTACTAGTTCATGTTGCTGGAAAATTGATAACGTAGAGGCATTCTTCTGTTTGTTTAAGTCGCACAACTCTGTTTGATCTCAATATCTGCATATTAAGATCTAAACTGATCATTTACTCATGGTAGGCTAGTTTGGAAGTTGTTTCTGGTGTACTGATCAGAACCTTAATTGCAAACCAGTTGACGGGTTAGTACAGATATTTCGAATGTACATAAGAACAGTTCGGAAGTAAATAATAATAATTTAATATCTAAAACAGATCTCCCGTTGCGTTAAATATTCTACCAGACGGATCTTCATAGCTGTTGTGGTAACCCACTTTTTGTTTTTCGTCGGAATTAGAACATTTTTGATTAGTAAGTACCGTGGTAGCAGCTGTAAATAGTAATCGGTACGCAAAGCCAGAGTAAAAAGAGGATCGAGGACAGTCGAGGAGTTTTGGGCTTAGGCCACAGTGGAACGCTTGGAATGGAACGGGCGGTTCACGCTGCAGGACTCGCTTCGAGCACCTTCGGCGGTAGATCACTCATAACTTCCTAAATTCTTAACGCCTTGAGTTACTTAGGGTCTCGTTGGAAACAGCTCAACGCGCTCGTTCTAACGAGACCAAGAACGCCTGGAACGGATGAGGACTCAGGGAGTTGTGACTGTCGGAAGATGCGAAGGAGAACGCCTACGGATAGGCGGAAGGAGTTCGTCGTTAGCAGAATATCCACCTTCGGCCCTAGATGTTCGCCTTCGGCGACGGACGTCTTCGTGTCAACTTCAAGTCGGCAAACTTCAAGTCGGCAAACTCGGAGTCGGCAAACTTGAGGTCGG